AGACATCATCAATCGCCCTAAAAAATTTAAGGAATATCTTGTTACCAGTAGTTTCCCCAAAGAGTATCCTCTTGAGAGACCTTATAACCTTGAAGGAGTCTACGAGGCAAGACGGATACATAAGGGCGGTCAACCTCTAAACAGGATCATCATTGTTTGGAATGGCAGTGACCCTCCCCCTGAACATTACACCTTCTTTGGACATTTCATCCCATCAAGTCCTATCAGATCTTGGGTATCCCCCCCCTGTTGTTTGTTATAAGTGCCACGGTACTCATCATATCTCTACGTACTGTCGACATGACCCTGTGTGTGGGCTCTGTGCTGAACAAAACGATAGGCGGCAGTGTCCTCACAGGGACCCCCCTACCCTTGAGGATGGGGAGGTAGCCTCTCCTCCGGTGTCCCAGGTGATTGTGTCAAGGCGAAGATGTATGGCATCGTGGCTTCCCTCGACGCCCCGCCCTCTCTAACACGAGCAGGAAGCCAGTGGCGTCTGGTCCAGCTGCAGGAGACACCCAGCAGGAAGCTTCTGATGTCACCTCTAGTAAGCAGTTTCCAATCATCGTCGGACTAAAGCAAACAAGCAAAGATACAGAAGAAATTGACTAGTTAAAAAATAAAATTTGTGAATTGGAAATTAAAATAAAAACATTAGAGACAAATCTGCCCGGTGATAGTGGTGAAGTGAATCATGCTAATAATAGTGATCAAGTAAATTCTCCCAGCACCAGTAGTGAAGTGAGTGGTAATCTTGCAGCTGCCGAGGCTACTCCATCTAACCCTACGGAACACGAGTGTCAAATCTCCATGGGAAATGGTGTTAGAGTAGTCATTGATCCCTCACTGACACCCCACTAGATCATAATGAAACCCTTGAGGTGGTTACAGATAAAGAGTTTAAGAGAACACCAACTGCTACACAGGCAAAACGCATCCTACGCAAAAGTGACATTACTCAGGACACATGGGACAAAGTTGCTTATGTTGTCCAAGTGTTTAATGAGCTTAAATGTTACCTTCATTCCCTTGACGCTTAACCATGGCTCATCAAACACAAACAATTAAGTTTATTTCTTGGAACATTCGAAGTGTTTATCTTCGGATAAATGACGTAATCTTGTATGCTAAAATGAGAGACGTGGATGTGATGTGTTTACAGGAACCATATACGTCCACAAGTATCAAGTAGGTCCCACCCAGGATACCTGGGTATATAGCATACAACAACGATATCGGAACTGGTCTACTCACGTATATTAAGAGTGGATTAATCTGTAAACTAATTAAAAATCACAGGAGTGATAGTATACATTATCAAAAATTCAAACTACAAACCGCAAATAGCAATTTCCTACTGTATAACATATATGGACGATGTAGTGTACTTAATGCAGACCTGCTACCGAAACCTACAGGTAACACAGCTATGTTATATATGGGTGACTTTAATGCTCGTCACACTGCTCTTGGTGATGTTCAGTGTAACACTAATGGAAGGGTCTTCTTGAAATACCTTACTGATCATAATATTACTGTGTATGATACTGATAAACAGACCCATTTATTGGGGGGTAGACTGGATTATGTGATTGGCTACAGCCTAGCAGATAGCAACGTCAACGTTAAGCTCATCCCAGAACTAGTAAGTGATCATTTTGCAATATATTGTGAATACAATGTAGCGGATATTAGGTCTAATCCTCATCCTATAGTTAAAATTAGCATTCTAGACAATCTTAAACAGCACTTTAAGGCTTATGTACATAAGTGGTACACTGGGTGTACACCTGTATCAGTGGACCACTTTTACAATGATCTTGTCAGTATCATTACCAGTTATTATGATACCTGGGTTAAATCAAGGAAAAAAAGAACACTCGTTCTTCCTCATGGACAGAGGATCCTATTATTATTGCAGAGCTAAAGTGCTTCAGCTTGCTGACTCTTATAAACGAGACAAAACAGCTGACAATTTACTTTCATTCCTTAATGCCAACAGAGATTTTCGCGAGCTTAAGGGTCAAGTTAAGAACACATATTGGGAACAATTCCTACAAGGTATCAATAGAACTACAACATTATCAGAAATGTGGAACAAAATTAAAACCATTACCAAACCTTCAGCCCCAGTTCAGCTTCATCATACTCCTGCAGAATATGCTGACATGCTCCTAGCTCAATGGTCTAGTGTCTCACAAATTTCTTCCTTACCCCCAGATATACAGCAGCATTTAAGACATACCAACATTAACAGAAACTTTAATATTGAAATAGCACGTTTCTCACCAGATTTAACAGATCAGTTTTCTATAACCCTCTTTGAATTAACATCAGCATTAGGGAAACCTAAACAAACTGCCCCTGGTGAGGATGGTATAACTTATAACATCTTGAGCTTACTGAATGATGTCCCTAGCCACCCTCTACTTGACCTCTATCAAATGAGCCTCTCACAAGGTATCTTGCCAAAAAATGGACACAAAGTCTCATAATACCAATTCCTAAACCTAACTCTCAAAAATTCAGACCCATTTTCCTTACATTTTGCATGTGTAAAGTCTTGGAGATAATTGTTCTCAATCATGTTTCAGGTCAAAGAAAAACTGGCTTCTAACTATATGGGTTCATGCCCAAGTGTAGCATACAAACATGCTTTGCTGAATATTTTGTAAACTCCCAGGATGGGACACAGGCAGCCTTTATTGACCTAAAGTCAGCTTTCGATGTAGCGAATGACGAAATAATATTAGAGCAACTTGCTGAATTAGGAATCAAAGGTAATCTTCTGAGTTGGATAAAGAGCTACCTATCCAACAGGCATACTAGTGTCCTATTTAAAGAGTTAAAAGTACAAGAACAGATGCATTCGAACTAGGCACACCTCAAGGTGGTGTTCTAAGCCCTATGCTCTTCAATATACTTATGCACAAACTTATCCATGACATACCTGTACAACCTACGGAAACTGTTATATGTTATGCTGATATTTGTATTATGGCACACAGTAAACCAAGGCTACAAGTGTTACTTGATCCATTCTCCAAGAAAGTAGTAGAATGTGGCCTCATAATCTCTGTTGATTAAACAAGGGTTCTTATTCCCCATTCTCTTCATGTTAACTGTACTATTAATGGAGTGCCCGTGGAAACGTGTGAGTCTTATAAATATCTTGGAGTCGAGGTTAATGATACAAATCTCATCAGCAACCTGCGCAAAAAACTTGTTGAGCGTCTTAAACCTCTCAAAACTCTTGTTGGCAAAGGATTTGGTATTAACATAAAATATGCTCGTAGTTTTTATATTGCCTTTATACGGTCTGTTGTTGATTATTATGCCTTGCATCTTCTTAATTTTTCTCCTAAACAATTACAAGGCCTAGATGTAGTACAGAATGATGCCATGCGCATCATCCTGGGTTGTCCTAGAACTGTCAGAATTGTTAATATGAGAAAGGAACTAAACTTACCTTAAATTTACGAAAGAATAGTTCTACTTAGTACTATATTTTGTGCCAAAACTTTGAAAAATAATGGTCCCCCAGCTCTATCCAAATTAAATTGAGATCCATTCTAAACAATTCTGAATGTTCCCTCAATCCGCCGCAAAAAGCTCCTTACAGTGTGTGGCTCAGTTGTTGTGCCTATAATCTTCTGAAACTGAATGTGTCTCTTAATCCTGATAAAACTGTTCACTATATTCCCCCTTGGAAAGATGTGGAGGTCTCTCTGCATTATACCTCCATCAGTGTAAAACAAATGTATAACACTGAAATTTTGAGATGTATAACATTAGAAGCTATTGACAGTCATCTTCAAATTCTCAAACCGACTGAATCCTATGCCTTTACTGATGGCTCTGTGCAGTTAGGCACTGGTAGAACAGGTTGTGTATGTACAGTATATAAAGAGAATGAAATGATCATGTCTGGTACACAGAGATTGAACAACTGTGCAAGCACGACACAGACCGAGTTATTGGGCATTTATCTAGCCACTGAATACCTTAAGCTCAATGGTGGTGTAGTTATTTTCTGTGACTCTAAAAGTGCTCTGCAGGCCTTAAATAACCCATCACAATGGATGTCTGAAGTAGCTTGTAATATTAATCGGAATGTAATTTTTGCCAATGATAATAACTCTTGTATAAAACTTATGTGGATCCCATCCCATGTTGGAGTTGGAAAACATGACTTTGTCACCGATTGGCCAATGAGGCTTGCAGGAAAGAAAACATTGATTATGACTTTGGACTATCTAATGCAATTATTAGAAACATACAAATTAAAGAAATTAATTCAGATTTAGAAGAACTAAGAAATGCCCAGAGACCTGAAAGCTGCAGTATTAAAAGTTATGACAAGTTTTGTAATAATAGGTATTTGTATGGTCAGCACAGTAACCGAACCAGGCAATGTGATGTAGTCATTGCGCGAATTCGCCTTGGCTATAGACACATCTGGCAGGTTAGTGAGGCTGAGCCACTACCAGAATATTCAGATTGTAAACTCTGTGATAAACCTTTAATGCATTCACTAGAACACTATATTGTTGAATATGAAACCGTAAAAGACTTTAGACCTCCTGGCCTCTTGTACCACCAACTGTGTAACTATTTCATTGACTCAGGTGTTCTGGACGACATCCTAACAATTTATCCAAAATTTGCTTGTCCATTTTAAAGAATGAAGAACAATTTTTTTTTATATTACTTCTAAGCTGCATCACTTATGAACCCATCCCTCCCCTTGTGTGGCAGTTCATAATAGGAAGTTTTCACATATTCATACATTAAAACATTGATTGTAACCATGATATATATGTGTTTCCGCCTACAGTTTAGACCTATTGTCTTGTGTATGACCCTCTGTCCTGCGTGACAGTGAATACCAGCATTATCCTCACTTTAATAAGGCTTAATCGAAATCCTCAGATTAGGCAAAATTGTAATTGATTTTGTCAATAAAGATGTTAATAATAATAAACCATTTTATTCCACAGGTCGCAAGGTTCCGGGTCGTGCGTGGCCACAAAATTCTGTCGTCAAGGCTCCCGAGTCGTCGTGGTCGCTGCAGCGAGTGGCGTCGAGAGAGCTGGTCGCTGGTAGAGGTGGTCACTGGTAGAGGTGGTCGCTGGTAGAGGACACGGTGTGCAGAGTGGGATGGACCGTCGACCAGAGTACCGGTACACCGGGGTGAACAGCGGCCCGGGGACGGTCCACTGCCTCACCTTCACCATCATCACCTTCAATGTCATCTCCGCCGTGAGTACTTACCTGACACTGACTCCTGGGGGCGAGGCCGAGCTCTGGGGCCCCAGCCACTGTCATGTGTGCACCAAGCTCTGGGGCCCCAGCCACTGTCATATGTGCACCAAGCTCTGGGGCCCCAGCCACTGTCATGTGTGCACCAAGCTCTGGGGCCCCAGCCACTGTCATGTGTGCACCAAGCTCTGGGGCCCCAGCCACAGTCATGTGTGCACCAAGCTCTGGGGCCCCAGCCACTGTCATGTGTGCACCAAGCTCTGGGGCCCCAGCCACAGTCATGTGTGCACCAAGCTCTGGGGCCCCAGCCACTGTCATGTGTGCACCAAGCTCTGGGGCCCCAGCCACAGTCATGTGTGCACCAAGCTCTGGGGCCCCAGCCACTGTCATATGTGCACCAAGCTCTGGGGCCCCAGCCACTGTCATGTGTGCACCAAGCTCTGGGGCCCCAGCCACTGTCATGTGTGCACCAAGCTCTGGGGCCCCAGCCACAGTCATGTGTGCACCAAGCTCTGGGGCCCCAGCCACAGTCATGTGTGCACCAAGCTCTGGGGCCCCAGCCACAGTCATGTGTGCACCAAGCTCTGGGGCCCCAGCCACAGTCATGTGTGCACCAAGCTCTGGGGCCCCAGCCACTGTCATGTGTGCACCAAGCTCTGGGGCCCCAGCCACTGTCATGTGTGCACCAAGCTCTGGGGCCCCAGCCACTGTCATGTGTGCACCAAGCTCTGGGGCCCCAGCCACTGTCATGTGTGCACCAAGTTCTGGGGCCCCAGCCACTGTCATGTGTGCACCAAGCTCTGGGGCCCCAGCCACTGTCATGTGTGCACCAAGTTCTGGGGCCCCAGCCACTGTCATGTGTGCACCAAGTTCTGGGGCCCCAGCCACTGTCATGGGTGCACCAAGTTCACTGACCTTGTACCTGGGGTCCTGAGTGTTCTTGTAGTGCTCTACCATCAGTGCCAGTCACGGCTGTCTAGTCAACCTCAGAATACGGTTAAGAATATATTCAATAATATTATTACAAATTTTCATTAGATATTAACCTTACTTAGTGTTAAAATTATATTAGTAATAGGATGAATCTGGATCCAGCTGTGTACGAGAGCCTTCAGGTGGTCGGTTGACGGGGGTATGAGGCATAGCTACGTGTTGAGAGACTATGGTTCACACGGTAGCCGCCTGGGCGTGAGTGTGCTCCCTGAGAGGGTGACGTCCTTGAGTAAGGCGTGACCAGCACGAGGCTGGTAATGGCTGAGAGGCTTGAGTTATGGTTACCAGTTTCTGGTTGACCTTCTCCCCCACAGCAGTGTGGCCACCATCCAGGCGTGCTGTGGCTGCCCTTGCCATAGACACCCACAGAGTGCTCCAGACCTAGACTGTGTGGAGCTGGTCCTTAGCAACAGCAGCGGCCGCTTCCTACCCCGTACAGAGCAACAGTGGCATATTATTGTTATAACTTGTGAGGGGAAAGGTCCAGCGTCCACCCCCCCATAACTACGGGGTCACCATAGCCCGTGCTACTTGGAGCTTTTTGTTCCAGGTAGCGAATCTTTAACAACAACATTAACGTCCAGCACACATGTTTATGTTAACATAAACACACATGTCTGGTCCACAGAAGCACGCCCCGTTACACACCTGCTCTCACAGACATGGACAACACCTGCTCTCACAGGCATGGACAACACCTGCTCTCACAGGCATGGACAACACCTGCTCTCACAGGCATGGACAACACCTGCTCTCACAGACAAGGACAACACCTGCTCTCACAGACAAGGACAACACCTGCTCTCACAGACAAGGACAACACCTGCTCTCACAGACAAGGACAACACCTGCTCTCACAGACAAGGACAACACCTGCTCTCACAGACAAGGACAACACCTGCTCTCACAGACATGGACAACACCTGCTCTCACAGACAAGGACAACACCTGCTCTCACAGACAAGGACAACACCTGCTCTCACAGATAAGGACAACACCTGCTCTCACAGATAAGGACAACACCTGCTCTCACAGATAAGGACAACACCTGCTCTCACAGATAAGGACAACACCTGCTCTCACAGATAAGGACAACACCTGCTCTCACAGATAAGGACAACACCTGCTCTCACAGATAAGGACAACACCTGCTCTCACAGATAACAAACGTTAATATTAAATTAACGAATAATCTGAATGTTAATGAATAATTGTATTGAGCATTTATTACAATTATCAGCACTTGGAGGTGATCTATGGTTACCCTCCCCCAGGTGACGGTTACCCTCCCCCAGGTGACGGTTACCCTCCCCCAGGTGATGGTTACCCTCCCCCAGGTGACGGTTACCCTCCCCCAGGTGACGGTTACCCTCCCCCAGGTGATAGTTACCCTCCCCCAGGTGACAGTTACCCTCCCCCAGGTGACAGTTACCCTCCCCCAGGTGACAGTTACCCTCCCCCAGGTGACAGTTACCCTCCCCCAGGTGACGGTTACCCTCCCCCAGGTGACAGTTACCCTCCCCCAGGTGACGGTTACCCTCCCCCAGGTGACAGTTACCCTCCCCCAGGTGACAGTTACCCTCCCCCAGGTGACAGTTACCCTCCCCCAGGTGACAGTTACCCTCCCCCAGGTGACAGTTACCCTCCCCCAGGTGACAGTTACCCTCCCCCAGGTGACAGTTACCCTCCCCCAGGTGACAGTTACCCTCCCCCAGGTGACAGTTACCCTCCCCCAGGTGACAGTTACCCTCCCCCAGGTGACAGTTACCCTCCCCCAGGTGACAGTTACCCTCCCCCAGGTGACAGTTACCCTCCCCCAGGTGACAGGGGTAACACCTAAACGAGCCTAACTAATCTGTCAAGAAAGTTTGACAAGTGTGAGAGACGTCCGACCAACCACTCAACGCTCCCACCTCTTCTCGTGTTCTGATTGGTTGATTAGCTGGATCACCTCCACCACTCATTGTCTGTGATATCCTTACCTTACCCCCTTCCCCCCCAGTCCCCCTTCCGTGTTGTGGCTGGAACAGAGGCCATTATGTATGGCTTTCCCAGATGACCGCTCCTGTTCCTTCTTGGAGGGGGGGACTCATGTAAGAGGACGGGGCTTCACCGTCTGCTGGAGGGGGGGGGGGGACTCATGTAAGAGGACGGGGCTTCACCGTCTCCTGGAGGGGGGGGGGACTCATGTAAGAGGACGGGGCTTCACCGTCTCCTGGAGGGGGGGGGGACTCATGTAAGAGGACGGGGCTACACCGTCTGCTGGAGGGGGGGGGACTCATGTAAGAGGACGGGGCTTCACCGTCTCCTGGAGGGGGGGGGGACTCATGTAAGAGAACGGGGCTTCACCGTCTCCTGGAGGGGGGGGGGGGACTCATGTAAGAGGACGGGGCTTCACCGTCTCCTGGAGGGGGGGGGACTCATGTAAGAGGACGGGGCTTCACCGTCTCCTGGAGGGGGGGGGACTCATGTAAGAGGACGGGGCTTCACCGTCTCCTGGAGAGGGGGACTCATGTAAGAGGACGGGGCCACAGCGTCTCCTGGAGGGGGGGGGACTCATGTAAGAGGACGGGGCTTCACCGTCTCCTGGAGGGGGGGGGGGGAACCATGTAAGAGGACGGGGCTTCACCGTCTCCTGGAGGGGAGGGGGACTCGTGTAAGAGGACGGGGCTTCACCGTCTCCTGGAGGGGGGGGACTCATGTAAGAGGACGGGGCTTCACCGTCTCCTGGAGGGGGGGGGACTCATGTAAGAGGACGGGGCTTCACCGTCTTCTGGAGGGGGGGGGACTCATGTCAGAGGACGGGGCTTCACCGTCTCCTGGAGGAAGGGGGACTCATGTAAGAGGACGGGGCTTCACCGTCTCCTGGAGGGGGGGGGGACTCATGTAAGAGGACGGGGCTTCACCGTCTCCTGGAGAGGGGGGGGACTCATGTAAGAGGACGGGGCCACAGCGTCTCCTGGAGGGGGGGGGGGAACCATGTAAGAGGACGGGGCTTCACCGTCTGCTGGAGGGGGGGGGGACTCATGTAAGAGGACGGGGCCACAGCGTCTCCTGGAGGGGGGGGGACTCATGTAAGAGGACGGGGCTTCACCGTCTGCTGGAGGGGAGGGGGGACTCGTGTAAGAGGACGGGGCTTCACCGTCTCCTGGAGGGGGGGGGGGACCATGTAAGAGGACGGGGCTTCACCGTCTGCTGGAGGGGAGGGGGGACTCGTGTAAGAGGACGGGGCTTCACCGTCTCCTGGAGGGGGGGGGGGGGACCATGTAAGAGGACGGGGCTTCACCGTCTGCTGGAGGGGGGGACTCATGTAAGAGGACGGGGCCACAGCGTCTCCTGGAGGGGGGACTCATGTAAGAGGACGGGGCCACAGCGTCTCATGGAGGGGGACTCATGTAAGAGGACGGGGCCACACTTTCGCCTGGAGGGGGGGGGGGGGGAAGACTCATGTAAGAGAACAGGGCCACAGCGTCTCCTGGAGGGAGGACTCGTGTAAGAGGACGGGACCACACCATCACCTGGAGGGAGGACTCATGTAAGAGGACGGGGCCACACCGTCTCCTGGAGGAGGGGGGGGGAGACTCATGTAAGAGGATGGGGCCACATCGTCTCCTGGAGGGGGAGGGGAGACTCATGTAAGAGGATGGGGCCACATCGTCTCCTGGAGGGGGGGGGGGGAGACTCATGTAAGAGGATGGGACCACATCGTCTCCTGGAGGGGGGGAACTCATGTAAGAGGACGGGACCTATTACGGCCCTACCGGGACGCAACCGGGTTCTTCTCTGATGGTAGTAGAGTTTGGGAATCCGGCCCCAAGTTAGTAGAGGCTTTCAAGCGGTGTGTTCCATAATGCAAGTTAAATTAAAGGGGGAGGACACAAGTATTCCGATAAATATTTCCACCACCATATATAAATAAATAACAGTCGCACGCGGGGATTATTACTACACAAAAATATATACAGTTGCATCTTCCTCCGAAGACACTGGATGCTCAATGATGCCCA